TGATCCCTTAGTAGAATCAAGGCATTGGTGACAAACTGTGCTAGTACTCATTTTATTCTTCACTGCCCTCACATGCTGTTAAAAAACTGTTGATTGAAGCAGTACATATTATTGATTTTATTAAATCTTTCCTCTGAAATCCATACTCTTTAAATATTCTGCGTGAATAAAAAAATAAAGAATGCATAAAGCATTTCTGCAGTACACTGAAAGCTGATGGCAGTCCAGAGGAGAAGCCCTTTCACATGTTTTAGTTGAGAGCTGCTCTGTACACCTTTCCCTACTACACCGTGTTTCCTTGAATGATTGACAGAATGTAGTTGTTCCCACTCGGGTATCTTGTAGTATTTGTTGCAAGTGATCGAATTTTAACTTTAAACAAAAATTAGTGCTTTGGAAAAGTTGTATCCAACACTGTGAGCTTGACTACGGTGCCATAATTAAATAACTTTTTTGCTGATGTTGATGGTGATATTAACACACATGGCCTTTTTGAAATTCTGTAATGAAATGTGTTGATATTTGAGAGATATGCATAACTCAGGAAACCTTTATTTCCCAAATCCCCAGTGCATTGAGGAAATGCCACAAAGTGTCAAGAGTATCAGGATGGATAATGAAGTACAGCAAAGGGAAACCTATGAACCGGCAATGTGGAGATTAAGTAGGTATTACGAGCTAGCTTGGTCCAAGAGACAAGTGTGGGACAGGAGATGAGGTCAACATGACCAAGACTGTGACAGGTAGGAAGAACTAGGGTCCAAGGAGAGCACTCCATGTTAGAAAAATGTATATATCTGATCTGATCAGAACCGGAATAAGAGATGAGGAATAGGATTTGTGAGAAAAGCAGCCAAAGACTACTCTACCTGAATTCCTTAGGCCTTACCCACTTGTAAGTTGCATGGCAATTCTATGAACAGTTAATACCAGGATTCTACACATTGTTATCCGCATCTGTTGACTCAGAACCCAGCCCCTCTGCACAGTCCCTGCATGTATTTCTGAGCATTATGAGATGGCCCCTATGTACTCAGGAATGAGTTCATTTTTGTGTTGGACCATATCCCAAGATCACCTGTCTCTGTTGCTTTTCTCTTTGTTTCGATAGTACTCTCTAGTCGTTACCTCCAAGTCCTCACAGTGTTAAAGCCATGTGGTGTTAGGTGTGTGCTGCCCCAAATTTAGACTCGAGTGTATCACAGAGTTCAGAAAACAGTTTCCAGTAGTTTACTTCTACATTCCCCTCTTCCTATTACCATTACTAGTATCCAGGGTGCTGAGGTGAGGATGAGTTTGAGTTAGCAGCCAATAACTATGGTGTGTTCAGATTTATTCAGAGATGACCATTTTGGTAATAAGTTCATTTACCGTATTTGGCTGTTTCCTTGAGCATAGATTCTTTGACCGAAGCCACCTCAGCTCTCTTAGAAATACATCACTGTTGGGTAGCTTCCGCTTCTCCTTTTAAGCTTAGGTACGTGTAAACATAGCTTTATTTCTTGGGCTCCTCACATCACTGGCAAAAGGATTTCTGTCCACTCTGCCCCTCTAATAGTTGTCTAGACATATTTAACACTTGGTATTGGAAAAAGACAATTTGTAAGCTGAGCTGTCTCCCAGATCTTGTTCATCTGATTTCAGCAAATGTTTGTTGGGTGTCTTTTTTGGTACCAGGTTCCATGTTTGATTGTAAGAATATGGAGTTGAAAAGAATACTGTGCTCTTTAGGAGTAAGTTGATAGGACACACATACACAGAGGTAAGTGTAATGCAGCGTGACTAGTGCTGCTGTAGAGGTGTGTGCAAAGTACATTGGGAACATGGAAGAGGGAATGGTTGTATTTTCCTGGGGGCACTTCTGTAAAAGAACGCTTTGAGCTCAGCCTTAAAGGGTGAAAAGCATTTCTTAATGTAAAGTCAGCGGTAAGAGAAATGACATTACAGAAGAGAGAACAGCAAATTTCCAAGTATGAAAGCAGAAAAAGTAATTTGGGGGAACTGCACAAAGATAAGCATTAGTGTTGATGTGGAGTATTCATGGAGGGGATACCAACCTTGACAAACATCTTTGAGTCCGATTTTAAAGGGTGTAAAAAGGCTTTGTTTTTTGTTTTGAAGAGGAAAAACTAAATGATATTCCTATTCTCCTTGAAGAAAATAGTCTTAGTCATATGAAGAGGCAATCAAAAAGTATGCAAAAATATAGAGAAAAGGCATTATAGAGGATTATACAAATATGTTAGGACACTGAATTGGTAAAAATACTATGAAGTTTTAAAATTTGGACTTTTTACTGTATGTGGTAAACATTGTTTTAACTTTTTACTCTGTGATAGTTGTAGATTCAAGTGTGAATTGTTAATTATAGATTCACGGAGAGATCCTGAATATCCTTCACACCATTTACTTAATTGACATCTCACCAGTTACATGCACTCCGTTGTGTGTATTTAGTTCTGTGCACTTTTATTGCGTGTATAGATTCATGTGAGCACCATTGCAGTCAGATTGAGAGCACTTCCCCCACAGAGATCCCTTGTGCTACCTAAAGGGCCTTTTTTTGACACAATAGGGAGCTTTGACTGCATTCTGTGGGTTGGTGTCTCTCAAACTGTGGCCTTTGGGTCACTCTAACAATAACCTAGTGTTCTTTTTAAATATCCCAATTCCTACCATAGAAACAGTTTTCTAACCACATTCTCTGGGAATGTGGCCCTGTGACCTACATTTAAATAACACCCCCAGGTGCTCCTTGTGATGAGAACATGATGCAAACACCTGCAAGGAGGAGGTCTGGACGAGTGTCATCTAACTGGAGCATGACAGAAGGCATACATGCAATTTAAAAATTCTGGTAGCCAAATCAAAGTAAAAAGAAACAAGTGAAATGTTACAAACATGAAATTAATCTAAAATGATTGGTATTTAATGATTGGTATTAGCTTTTTTTTTCCTTCAGAGTATTCCAAATCCAGTGTGTACTTTGTACTTCACATCTCAGTTGAAATTAGCCATATTTGAAGTGCTCAGTAATACACCTGATTAGTGGCTACCGTATGGGGTAGCGCAGACCTAGACAACAAACAGTCACTACAAAGGCCGTGAGAGAGATTCATACAGAGATGTGCAGTTGACATCTGGAAATTGAAGTTACTGCTCTAGAGCTTTGGAATAAGATAAAAATTAGATATATAGATTTATAAATCATTGATGGAAGAGTTGTGACACTGTAATTTTCAGTAATTCTCAACAAAGACTTATTAGACTCACCTACAGGGTTTTTTCTAACTGCATACTTGCACCCCAAGAAAGCATGGAAAATCTTGACACTTGGAGAAAAGGATGGAAAAATAGGGAGGCATGTGCATCTCAAGGAGAGGAGGAACATAGATAGGGAGTTTCTCCATCGTTGATTCTGATAGGGCCCCTCCCTGCTGTCTCCACTCCTGGCTGAGAACCACTGGTGTTTAAAAAGGGAGATGAGGATTTAAGACACTGAGAAGGATCTAGAGTGAAGAAAGGAGTGCCAAAGAAGTAAAGGAGAGGGTTTCAACAACGAAAAAGGCAGGAGGAGATGAGACATTTGCAAATACCGTATTCTTAAGATTGTTGAGGACCTAGAGTAGTCAACTGGACTAAGATGGTCTGTGCGGTTGTTGGTGGAGACAGAACTGGATCTAGCTACCTGAAGGTTGGAGGAGCTAGATTGGCTGTAAGAGGGTCATGCTGTGCCCTCCCAGGCAGTTCCTTAAATCCTTTCAGTTTGGTGAAAGTGTATCAGAATTCTCTCTTTTATAGTCCTTAAGTCTTGCAGTTTAGCTAATTGTTTGTATAATACGTGTCTATCTTCACCCTGACCATAGGATCTGACCATAGGATCACCCTGACCATAGGACCACCCTGACTGTAGGATCCCTTGGGGAACTTTACCCACTCCTAACTCCCTCCCCATGTCCTAATAAGTCAAAATTTCTATGACTGGGGCGTAGGCATCATTTTTTAAAGTTTCCCAAGTGATTATAATGAGCTATAGTAGAAAACTGTTCGTTACTTTGATCAGTTTTCTACCCAGTGAGTACATTTGTGACAGAAAATAAGTTTTACTCAACTTCTTGTCCCCAGAGTTTGTGTGGCATTTGGTTAGCTGTCAGGAAATGTTGAAGAATGAATGAAAAATGAAAGAGCTAACAAATGAGGAAATGTGGCCAGGGAACTAGTCAGTCCCTTGTGGATACCTTAATAAATAACATTTCCTTTCTTTCTAATGAATAGTTACCAGGCCCGTTATTAAATATACTGCACATATTTTGGAATTATTAGTGTGAAATTGTTCTGCCGAATTGCTCTAATTTACAGTATTTACATAAAATCTCAGGTATAAAAATAAGACTACAAAGTTGGTTAGGGTGATTCTCCCAAGTTTTTTTGTTTGACTACATATACCACAAGATGTAGTATAATAACTGTTCCACTGAGTACAATATTTAAGAGAAATTACTGCATTTAGGATAAAGAATTTTTGCCATCAATTTAAAGAAAGTACTTACTATTACCATATAATTAACTACAACTCAAATTCTATTATGTTTAAAAATTAATGCTGTGGTTATTTAAACTTCCTATTTAGAAGAATATTTGTAGTTCTTTGTTATGGCTCTTCTAAGGCCACTGCAGTAACTTATTTAATTGACCCTTTAGCAGTTGCTTTTTATGACTTTTAGTGAGAGAAAGATGGAAAGAAAAAGACATAAAATGTTCTGCAAAAATAAAATAAGCTGGTAGTCACTAACAAAATTCATCATCATCATAATTGAATTTTCAATCCAGGACATAGTTTATAGAGTGTCCCTAGCCCAAGACCTGGTAGTAGGTACCTCAGTAAATAAGAATTATTTTTCTTCTGCTCCACATGTAGCTGATGTGGTGGTAAGGGTTTAGAAACTCAAGTTTATTCTGACACAGTTCAGCATTGAAAAAATGCATTCATTTTCCCACAGATGAAAAGAAATGAAGAATTGATAACTAAAAATCACAATCAAGAAGACATAAGTATTCTTCGTTGTTGGAAATGTAGAAAATGTATAGCAAGTTCTGGTTGTTTAATGAGATATCTTGAGAATCAAGTGATTACGGTGAGTACTCCAAACTTCAAACTATTTCCTAGTATACAAATGCCGCGAGCACGCCCACAGGTGCACACCTATCCCTTAACACCTGGCTTAACTTCTTTTATGTTCTTTTACCTCACCACTGAAAACATTTTCAAAGTGCTATTCAGAAGGCTTCCCATCTTCCACAGTTAAAATTAATTTTATTTTTAGCTGCTGACATTAACATGCCCTTAATATTTTAAGTGCAGTATCATAGATGTAAGTTGAAGATAATAGTCAGTGTTTTTCTTATTCCCACTATGAATGAACCTTAGTCATCAACACAAAATTAAATTCAAGATCCTAGTGAGAAATGGAAAACTTATTTTATTGTGTGTGTATATATATAGTGTGTATATAAAATAAAATAAGTTTTATATATACATAACTGTGTATATAGTGTGTATATAGTGTATATGTACACACATACACACATGCATACACACACGCATACACACGTGTGTGTGTGTATGCGTGTGTGTATGTATTTAATATTCAGTATGGGCCTAGGAAGTTCATGTATAATTCAGAGTCAGTAGGAAAACCTGAATAATATTTAAAAGCATTTAACTGGTCGTCCTGGCAAAAATAAAGGCTTTTTAAGCAACAAAACTAAAAGCCCTAGACTTCTCTAAGAGCATTATGAAAGAAGTGCAAACTAGATCATAATCCATAGACTTTATAGGAAGTTCTCCTTTCAACAAAGAGAGTAGCTGTAATCACCTGTCATTGTCATTATTCACTTCTCCTTCTTCAAGAGATACTCAGGTTTTGGTTTTTGTTAGTTTGTTTTCTTTTTTCTTTCTTTCTTCTTCTTTTTTTTTTTTTTTTTTTTTTTTTTTTTTTTTTGCCTCAGCCATGTGTAATTATGATTATTTCCTCATAAGTCTAACAAATTAGCCAACTGGAACTGATAATAGTAGATCATTTTGGTTTACATACTTAACTACATAACAGATCCTTTTTAAAAACTGACAAAGCATTTTAATTGGGAAAGAAAAACTGGTCATGCCAAGAGTATTCTGTTGGGTATAATTTACCTAGAGTAAAAAAAAATTAAGTATGCAACTTCATAAATTTTTTCAGTCCTGCCATGAATCAGATCAAGGTCTACATTTCCATCATTCCAGAAAGTTCTCTTGCCCTTTTCCAGCCAATTCTCTCCTCTCCTTCTCACAGTACAATTACTATTTTGATGTTTATCACCATAGATAGTTTTGCTTGTTCTTAACCTTGATTCATTCACATACAATCAGACAGTATGTATTCTTTTGTACCTGACTTGTTTTGTTCAGCATAATGTTTTAGACATTCATTCGTGTTTTGTGTTTGTAGTTTGTTGTTATTGTTTTTTACTGAGTATATGCTATTGATGAATATACCACAATTTATTATTTTTTTCTGTGAATGGGCATTTGAATTTTTAGTTTTGGGTTATGAATAAAACTGTCAGTATTTTTGTAAAAAACTTTCTGTGCTTGTGTTTGATGTATTTTCTGGTGTATATGTAGGAATGAATTCTGGGGGGCACAGATTAGGTATTTTTTTTTTTAAATCTATTTAGCAGACACTAGTATAACATGCTATGTCAGGTATTGTTTCCAAATGCTTTACAAATATTAATTCACTTTATAGGCTTACAGATCTCAACTGTAATCCTGAAAGGCAGTAACTAGGCTTTCTCATGCCTGCTTTTTTTCATCATTCAGAATCTAAATTAGGGAGCTTTCTAGGGTTCTGCTGAAAAGTTAGTTACATCTCCCTTCACTCATGTTCCAGGCTGCATCTTCCCAAACTTCATTGGTCAGTATTCCTTCCTGAATCATTAGAGTGGGTATGTTTTAATATTTTTTTTTCAGAAACTGCTACTAGTTTTCTAGGGTGAATATTAATTTCCAACAACAATGATGACAATTCCAGTTCTACATCTTTGTCAACACTTGGTATTTTCAGATTGTAATTTTAGCCATTCTGCTAGATGTATATTGGTATATCATTATAATTTTAATTTGCATTTTTGCATTTCCTTACTGATTACTGATGTCAAGTACCTTTTTTGTGTTTTTTGGTCAGGCATTGTTATAAATGTTTTGTATTATTTATTGTTTATAGTTTATAAGAATAGGTTGTCTTGAGGAAGATAATTTCCATTTCATAGATAAGGAAACTGAGGCACAGACAATTAAATAATTTGCTCCAGTTTGTACTTTTTCTAAGTAGTGCAGCTACACTTGGACCTGACATTGAGGGTCCAAAGGGAGTACACTAAACTCCACACTCACTTTGCTGCTTTGGCTCCTCCCTCAGGGTATCATGCAGTCTTACACTTTGTCAATAGAGTGGCTGCTACTTCCATTTACCTGCAGAACTCCCAGTCATTAATTCCTTTAACAGTTTTTTAATGAGCGAGAAAATTCTAGGTGCTACTTTAGGATGTATTGGGATGGGTTGTAGAAGAAACTGGTACGGAATACAAAAGATATTCTTGTCCTCTAGGAGCTTTGTTTCATTTTATTATTATTTTTTAGGAGCTTTAAACTCTAGTTCAAAACAGGTCAAGGTGTAGACTGATTTGATAAGTACAGTAACAGAGAGATGTGAACAAACTGCTGCCTGGGCTAGTCATGGAAGGCTTCCCAGAAGGAGAAAAAAAACTACACCCACACATGCTTGTAAACCATAAAGTTCACCCATTGTAAGAATATGACTAAATGATTTTCAGTAAATATTTGTGTTGGGCAACCACCAACTACAGTACAGTTTTAAAACCTTGCCATTACCCCGGAAAGTTTCCTCAGGCCTATTTGCCTGCACCCATGCCCAGCCCCAGGCAACTACCGATCTGTTTTTCGTCTCTGTAGCTTTATATTTAAAATAAAATGTATATGTATACATATATATATATATACACACACACACACACATATGTATATATAAATATATATACACACACATAAAACTATTGAAACTGTCATATATTTATATAAAATAATTTATATTCAATACATATTTATAAAAATATATATTCATTGTTTATGTATAATAAAATATATTAAAATATCTAATATGCATGTAAAATAACACCTTCATATGTAACATCTATTAAGAACTAGGCTTAGGAATAAGTCAGTATCATTGTTAAGTCTGGAGAAAGGACGTGTATGTAATCAGGGGTCCTGATGGGGCTTCTAAAGTGGTAATCGTGTTTGTCTTTACTAAACTGGGTAGTGGGTATATTGGTATTAGCTTCTTTTTCAGTCTTTCTTTAAATTATAGAAACACTTTACATTTTTAAATGGAAACATTTCATAAAAATACTGAAGGTGAATAAAAGGTCTGTTTTAATTAAAGTAAATTATAAAATAAAATACTGGAATCTGAACATAATTTTATCAGTTGCTATGCTGAAAGAATGCTAAATTTGTTACCTATTATCTTTATTGCCTATTAAACTACAATTAAAAACATGGGTATAAAATAAATTGTGTTAATTTCTGGAAGTGTTGTGTTGTTTTAATTTCTGTAAATGAAATCACACTGTAAGTAGGTGTTCTTCCAGAAATTGTTGATTTTACTTAAATTATCACGTTCAGTATCACTACCACTTATGTTCACTTTTGTGTAATGCAGTATTCTGGTATAATTCATTCCACCTTTGATAATTTGAGTTTTATCTTGTTTTGTTTTTAAAAACAGTGCTGTTATGAGCTTTCTTCTACATGTCTTGACACAGATATTTTCTGTTGTAAATATCTTTTGCCAGTTTGCAGGAGTGTATTTCTAAGAATAAAGTCACAGCATCCTAGGGTATGTGCATATTCCAACCTCACTGGGAGGCGCTAAACTTTTTTCAGATGACAGTGCCATGAGCAATGGTTTAGCATTGCTGTCACTCCACATCCTTGCCAGCATTTAACATGTCATCTCCAAGACCATTTGTCTTTTCTGTAAAATGTCTTCTTTTCTGCCTGTTTTTAGGTGGTTTTGCTTTGGTTTTTGAAAGTTCTATGTGTATTCTAAATACGAATACTCGGTTTTTTTATTCTAAATATCTTTTGCCAGTTTGTAGAAGTTGTATTTCACTCTTGGTGGTATCTTTTCATGAACAGAAATTCATAATATACTGTAGTTGAACTTACTAATCATCTCCTTTATGTTTTGTACTTTTTGTTTAAGAAATACTTCTCTGCCATCAGGAGAAGATTTTTTTTTTCCCTTTCCTTTCACATTGACATTAGCAAGTTTTCTTCTGTGTTCCTGTGAGCAACAGATTTATTGCTTGTTCACTCTTAAACTGAGGTTATAGCCCAACTTTATGTAGGCATTCCCCTTTAGAATCTCCTCACCCTGAGCAAACCTCAGATTCTGTCTCCTGTCTTCATCACCCCACACAGATGTGAAATGGCCTTCAGAACAACCTAGAAGATTAAGAATCTAGGGAGACAGAACCTAAAGTCCATAGCTTTTGGCTTGAGAACCACACTTCTTTAGCCCTGTCCAATGCCAGGAAATGGAGGTTACGCTCTGCCTCTCAGCCCCCACAAAACTAAAAACTGGATACTGGGATCACAGTAACTTGTGCTGCAGAATAGTCAAATACCTTCAAAACAAAGCACAAATGCAGTCATCACGTATCTTTCCTAATAGTGATTGGGTATATCAGCTTGGTGGAAGCTAGGTATTTGTGGAACTTGAGCTGTAAGGGAATCTGGGACATTTGAACGTTAGTTTTCCAGCCACCAGCACGTAGGAAGGCATGCACCAGGGAATTTAGAGTGGAATTTGGAGGCAGTCTGCAATGCCCACATGGAGAAAAGGGGCTCCCACCCTACTCTTTAGGGCTGCAGCACATGAAATATAAGTAAGAACCAAAAGCAAAATAACAAAAACCCTAAAAACATAAAAATAAAATGACAGAAATGCCCTCCATTTGTGAAGTCTTTGCCAGTGGCTAGGGATGGTGTCCTCAGTTTTAGTTTTTT